CTGCCTGTCAGTTTCCTCCACTTACCGGAGAAGGCTGCCAAAAGGACAAGGAGCCCCAGACACGCCATTTCAATTCTACCCAACCACCTTGTGTGGTGTAACGACTGTGAACTGTCTGGCTGCCCCGGCAGATTTCCAGTGAGGATCAGTCGCTCTCCTTTATCAGGAAGTTTCCCGACTTCATTTGCATGTGGTCATTGCCAAGGCATTTGAATAAAGCGCAGCTGCACCGAGCTTGGCAAATAAACGACCTCAGAACCCGGAGTGACAGAATCATGGAAATCGTGAGGCCATTGCAATGGAATTCATGCCCCCATTCAGGAAAGCATGAAAGATGCTGATGTCAATGGGATTTCAGTGTAAGAGTGATGAACGGGAAGCCCGAATGTTAAGATGCTTGACATTGGGTTACTAGGCTGAAATAACCTGTGGGTATGAAAAAAAAAAGCACTACCTGAAGCTATGAACATGAGCACCCTTCTTTGCTGAAATGTGTAGGTGAGCTGTGATTTCCACAACCCCCTGGGAATGCCAGGTACTTACTTTCCAATCTTTTCACAGCTTTGCTTTGTGACCAAATCCTGGCTTTGAAAATCCCGGCCTTATGTATCAGAGGAGAAAATCCTCTTGAGTGTTTCCGGGTTCACTTTTTATGAAATATTTCTCCCCGTTCTTACACAGGACATTTTGCTGCCCCGGACCTTGCTCTCGCTTTTATTTAATGTTGGAGAGTGTTTTGTGTCTTGTCAGCCAGAAAATATCCGTCGTTGTTTTTTTCTTTAAATGCTGATTTAGATTTTGAAAGTGACTCTGGGGATTTATCTTAAACCATGGAAAATCTCTCTCCCTTTCTCTTTCCCTCTCCCTCTTGTTTGTGTCTGTCACCACTGTAATCTGGCAGCTCAGGATCCCAGAGCCATCCCTGTCACAGCAGCAGAGGAAGGAGGTTTTACCTGAACCCGCAGAAGAGGTGTGGTGCAGGGGATCGGACAAGATGTTCATTTCTCGGTTTGGAGCGTGGGACTCGAAGAAGCCCTGTTCAGTTTGTTCTGTATGGACAGACGTCTTGCTCTCTGCTGTCTGAATGAACAGCCAAAGCAAGCAATTATAGCCATAGCCAACAATGAGAACTTGCCTAGCAGCTGGCCACCTAGGCGAAGTTTCAAAGCCAATTAATGGAGTTGGAAACTCAAAGTGTGCGTTGAACTCCCTCAGGGAGCGTGGAGATCTTATTCTTAACGTGAGCCAGTGAAAAGTTCCCCGGTGCAGCACCGAGCGAGTTTTTGTCTGGGAATTTTGTCTGCGCTGGGCGGATTTAGTCTCATTGTGTCTCTGGCCTAGTAATACAGGGCGGTGGCTTCAATCTGCTCATTTGCAAACAGAGCAGGGAGTTGGGATTCTCCCTGGAGATGGTGAATTGTTCTTTGACTGAGTCTGCATAGTACGTTTCACTTGAATCCTACTTAATGTCAGCTAACCACGGCGGCCCGTTCCCTGGAGCCTGAGGTACCCATTTCATCCAATAGCCAATGAAAGTGAACCCAGAGTCTTTGCAGGAGACTGTTAAGGAGTCTCCTGGGCTTTTTGAGTCCTTTGCCAGCCCTACATCGCATTAGACATCTGCAAACACAAAAACAAGCAAGTAATGTACCCAAGGCATACACACAATAAGTACATTCTAACTCTCTTTCTGGAAATATTTCTATGGAAGAACAACACCCCCAGGGAGCTGGGAAGAAAAGAAGAAATCCAGAGAAGGAGCTCCTGATAATGGTGATGGATGAAAAGAAATAGATTCTTGGCTACAGAAAGAGGGGAGGTAATTTGTAAAGTGTCTTTAGGAGTTCAGGCTTTAAGCAGAAGGCTGAATTTACAGTATTTTGATTCAAGCACGCAGAGGGACCAGATGGGCTTGTGGTTAAAGCCCTGGGGCCAGGGCTGGTCTTCTCACAAATTTACAGTTAAATAACGACCTCCTCTGTTGAATTCACACCTTCCAAAAGTGCAATAAGATTGAAGCAGGACACACTTTGAATTGGGAATGTGGGATCCACACCCAGACCGGCACTGAAATCATAAAGATTGGGGAGGGATAGCTCAATTGTTTGAGCATTGGTCTGCTAAACCCAGGGTTGTGAGTTCAATCCTTGAGGGGGCCATTTAGGGATCTGGGGCAAAAAGTGGGGATTGGTCCTGCTTTGAGCAGGGCCTTGGACTAGATGACCTTCTGAGGTCCCTTCCAACCCTGATATTCTATGATTCTATGAAAATCAATGAAAGGGTTTGGGTGAAAGTTCATGGTGAGATTTGACTTGCAATGGGTCCTGTGTGCCTAAATCACTTAGGACCATGAGATCAATCCTGTGAAAATCCATGTAAGTGCCTACCTGCCCCTCTAGGGCCTTGGAACACAAAGGAGAGTGTGGCTGAATCTTGGACAACCTAACTTTAAGACCCTGCCCGCTAGTGCAATCCAACTCCCTGAGTTAGGCACCTCCAGCCCTATTAAACATGGAGGCAGATGTCACAGGCTGATTGGCCTTTTGAGGCAAGCTGGGATCTGCCTTGCCCATGACTTTGCAGCTATTCCTCAGCCTCACTGATGAGCTGGGAACATAGGAGCTCATCAGTGACCCCAGCTGGGTGTAATGGGGCTTCATTAGAAAGACTGAGCCTGGCTGTAGTGGTGAGGGAGGTGAGCATTGCTTCAATAGAGCTGGGAGCTCAGGAGAGGCCTAATTGAGGGGATCTAGGCAGGGTTGCTGGAGGAAGGTTTAGTTAGTTGGGGACAGGCTGTGGTCAGAAAGCAGAGCTATGGAAGTGGGGTGAACTCCTGGGGGGGGGGGGGGGTAGAGTGAGATGGAGCCCTGAGGTAGGGTTTGTGAGGACCAGGGAGTGAGCTAGAAGGCCATGAAGGGTAGAAGGCTAGTTTAAAGGGCACTTGGGCTCCCAGTGGGAGGAGCCTAGGGGCCCTCTACACTCATAAGAGGAGGAACTGAACTGAAGTGAAGCTGAGCGGGATGGGGAAGGACCTTTGGTTCAGAGTTACCCCCTGGAATGGGACTGAACAGCTATGGGGCTTGGGTTGAGACCCAGGAGGCCCAGTGGGAGAACCTGGAGAAGACACTGGCTGAGACACTTGCTGCTGAGAAATGGCCACCAGAGGGATGTGAGCAGAAAAGTCTCCTGTAACTTCCCATCTGGGCAGGTGGGGCTGCCCTAGAGGTAAGGATGCATGTCTAGAAGAGACTTAGGGGCTTGATAAAGGGAATCTGCAAAAGAAAACACACTGAGCGGGGAGCTGTCTGACCTGCCCACTAGGAAATGCTGAGGAGGGGTTGGGTCCTAAGTCCCATCAGTGAAAGAGAGTTAGGTGCCTCACCCCAGTTGGGATTCATGGCCCTCTCCCGGAGTTAGGTGACTAAGCTGTTACTTAACTCCCACTTCCCCACAACCACTTATGCCAGAGAAGGAGTTGGTGGTGCTTCCCTTAGCTTTTAATCTAGTGGTTAGAGCACTTGCCTAGGACATGGTAGAGCCAGGGTCATTTTCTTCCCCTCTGCCTGATGTGGGAGCTGGGACTTGAGCCACGTCTTCGACTGTCAAGGGCAGATTGACATTTGGGGTACAGACACCTGCAGTGCATCCCATTCTCTTTCAGACCAAATGAGTATTAATTTAGTCATAGTAGAACAGCATGAAGAGGAGAGATTGAAAGACCCCTCCCCAAATACCCCGTAGCCTGGTGCTCAGGGCGTTCACCGAGGACCGTTTTGCTGCTGTGACAGGTGATTGTCACAGGAGCCGAATCCACATTTTGAGAAACCACTAAGGAAACAGAAGAAAAATCTACTTACAATGAGGTTTAAGTGAGTTAGGAGCCTAAGACGTTTGGGGAGGAATTACCCCCTGTCTGTTTACATGGGCAAATGCTCTCTGGAGGGACTAAAGGCTGCAGTGTTCGTCGGAGACCTGGGTTCTCTCACTGAGGGTTTTAGAATTGCTGTAGATGTGGTTTGTGTCACTGTGTCCCTAGCACAGTAATACCTGGCTGTGTCGTCGGTTCTCAGGCTGCCCAGCTGTAGATAGGCCGTGCTCATGGAGTTGTCCCTGGTGATGGTGAATCGCCCCTGGAAGGCCTGGGCATAGCCAGTGCCACCATCACCGGGATAGATGTATCCTATCCACTCCAATACTTTCCCAGGAGCCTGCCGTACCCAGTTAATGTAATAGCTGGTAAAGGTGTAGCCAGAGGTTTTACATGTCACTGTCACAGACTCTCCAGGCTTCTTGATTTCTGCCCCAGACTGCGTCAGCTGGATCTGGGAACTGACACCTGTCAACAAACAACAATAAAAACCCAGTTAATGCCATTGTTTTCCTCCTCTCCCCAGTTTTCTCCAAGTCCTTCTGTTGCCCTCCTCACAACCATTTCTGATCTGCTTGTATGTAATAA